CACAATTCCAGTAATAAAACCAAAATCCAAGTGAAAGTATGCTTCTTTTTTTGGAAGTGAGAAATATTTTAATGTCTGACCAAAAAAACTGTATTCTACTTGGAAACTTTTTCATGGAACAGAGTTAAACTATATGGTCCGGCTATAAATTCCCTTTTCTACTTACAATATTAAAAAGTAGAGTGAATACCAATTACTATAAATTTCCTTTTCTACTTATAATATTGTAAGTGAAAAAGACAACGTATAATCAGACAGTTCAGTTTAACTTTGCTGCATGAAAAAAATTTCATAGTAGAATAAAACTATTTAAGTCCGAAATTAAAAATCTGCTAATTCATAGTTGAAATTTTTTACTTGAAATTGTCGGGCACAATTAATGGCAGACTATAAAACTTTGTTCTTTCACTGAAAACTTAGTAAATTCTTAACGTCTGACTAAAAATGTCGTTTTCTACTTATAAATGTTTTGTGGATTAAAACTATGACAGAAGGTCTGACTATGAATTCTCTTTTCTACTTAAAATATATATGTCGTAGGCAAATAGAAGAAGTAATTTTGAAAAACATTCATTTTTCAATAATTTATTTATTTTTCTATTTAAATAATTGAATTCTCGTAGAATTTTCGAATAAAAATTGATTTAAACATGAATTTAAGTTTAAATTTTACATAATAGTTGAATATAAAAAGCATTATAGCTTGGATTTTCAAAAATAATTGAATTTTGAATATTTTTGAATATAATTACATTTTTTCAAAGGATTTTCTTAAAATTGTACTAAAAATAATTGAAATCCTGTGAAGAATTTTATTATATAGGAGAATAATTGAATTCTTGTAAAGAATTTTAATTGAATTTTTTTTAAATAATTGAAATCCTATGAAGAATTTTATTATTTAGGAGAATAATTGAATTTTTGTAAATAATTTTTATTATATTTGTTTTAAATAATTGAAATCCTGTAAAGAATTGAATTTATGAAAATAATTGAATTCTTGGAATGCATTTTATTACATTTTTTTTAAATAATTGAATTCTTTTGAGAATTTTTATTAAAATAGCAGATTTTGAAATTATTTAAATTCCAGCGATGAATTTCATTATTTGTGAAATGTAATTGAATTCTTGCAACGAATTTTATTACATTTTTAAAAATAATTGAATTCTTGGGAAGGAATTTATTAAAATTTTTGTAATAAATTTGTAATGGATTTTAGTTTAAATTTTACATAATAATTAAATATTAAAAGCAGTTTATCATGAATTTAAAAAAATTATTAAATTTTGAATATTTTCGAAAAAAATTATATTTTTCGAGCAATTCCTGTAAAATAGTATTAAAAATAATTGAAATCCTGCGATGAATTTTATTGTTTATAAAAATAATTGAATTCATGTGAAAAATATTACTTGTAAAAATAATTGAATTCTTGGGAAGGATTTTTTAAAAATCTTGTAAATAATTTAATTTTTTTTTTTAATTTGTTAGTAATTTTTTATTATTAATGTTACGGAAATTTAAATTATTATAAGTTGTTAAATGTCATAAAGGTTATTGAATTTAAAGTTTTTTGAAAATCTTAATTCATAAGGAATAATAATAATAGTGATTAAATATTTATTTAAAAAAGCTATATCATAAGGTCTGACTATAAATTCCCGTTTCTACTTACAATATTCCAGTTATCATATTGCAAGTAGAAGAGAGAATTTATAGTCAGACATTCTAGTTAAGCTGTATTTGACTTTATTTACAAAAAATTTTTAAGTAGAAAAGTATTTAGTCAAACATTAAAAATCTTCTAATCGACACTAGATTTTGGTGAGTAGATTATATTTGTTTAAATAACTAATGAAATAAATCAAAGTCTGACGAAGAATGATTTCTTCCACTGGAAATAATTTTCACAGTCAATGGCTGACTAATCTCATCCTTTTTCACTTGCAAAGTTTAGTAGTTGTTTCATGTCTCTCCAATAGTTATTAATTTCTACTTTAACTTTAAAATCTTCTTCTCAATGTTTATGTAAAAATGGAGGATGTTTGTTTATTTTTAAATTGAAAAAAAAGTTGTGCAAATTGTTTGGAGTGTAAGGAAAGTATTAGTTGACTCTAGTGGAAGAAAGTAAGATGTCTGGGCATAACGTTCTTCTTCCACTCAAAAGGAATATAATACTTGCATTCGTCAGGATCCACTTGGTAAAGCAGCCGGATATTACTCAGAAAGGGTTACTACTTCAAGTGGAAACGTAATGCAATGGTCAGACAAGAGAGAAACTTGACGTTTCACTGGTATTGCTTTTCTCCTCGGAAATCAAATACTTCTTTGATGTTCTATTATATAAACAGCAACGTCAGTTCGCAATGGAATACACATATATATTTAGTCGACAAAAAACAATTAGTTTACTCTCTTATCAGCATTTTCGCAAGGAAACATTTTTTTATTTTTCAAATAATTTTTAAAATATTCTATTCCAGCAATGTACAATATGTACAATTAGTAAAGATAGTAATGAAGTAAATAAAGTAAATCATGGCAAAAAAAATAGTAAAAACGTGTATAGTAATTTAAAACGACATTATTTTATTTATAATGTCGTTTAATAATTTCATGTGAAATGAAATATTTGCTGCCTAATTAATGATGACATAAAATTGACAGGAGAATGAAAAGTGTTATAGTCAATTAGTAAAAGTATCGAGTTGAGAAATCCGTTTATCGGTTTACACTAAGAGGAAGTTGTATAATTAATTGGATAGTCCTTATTATACTTAAAGCACATAATCCTCTCACGGTTTAAACATGGTAATTATCACCTTCTGATAGAAAGTGTGTGTGTAATAATAATATAGTGAAATGTAGAATGAGTTCATAACAAGCTCTGTAATAAACGCCACGAATGCTATATCATTTCTGTCAACAGCAAGAAATCTGATAGTCCGCAAAGTAAAATATTCCCTCATCGTCGTATTACCATCTCAGATCTATTTTAACTCCATAAGAAATTTCTCTCTTTTCGACCATTACATAATATATTCTGCGCTCCTTTTTTGCATTTTTATTCATTTCACAATTTTATCTCATTTTCAGTAATAATAATAAGTATTATATCACTACTGTTATTACTGAAATTACAATTATTATTATGATTATAATTTTTATAATTCTTAAAATATTATTATAAGTCTTACAATATTATAGTAATTATATATTTTTATCTATTTTATTACTTTACTAGCAAGTGATACGCGTGAAACGCCGTGTATTCCATTTATTATTGTTTTGTAAATTAAAAATTTTATATTTTCAAGAATAAACATCAATTTTTATCCACGGAATTCAATTATTTTCAGCACAATTTTAATACAATTTCTCGAAATAATAGTCATTTTTAAAAATATTATTTAAATTAAATTTTTAAGATTTAAAAAAGAAATTCAATTATTTTCAACAATTCTGAAAAAAAAATTCTTCGAAACGATTTAATTATTTTAATAAATTGTAAAACTACATCACAGAATTTCAATTATTTTCAATACAATTTTAATAAAATTTCTAGGAAAAAATCCAATTATATTCAAGATAATTTTAATAACATTTCTCTAACAGGTTCAATTACTTTTTAAAAATTGTAATACAAAATTTCTAAACAATTCAATTGTTCTTAAAAGTTTTTAATAAAATTCTTTGTACATTTCAATTATTTTCAAAATTTTCAATTATAATTACTTTTAAAAAATTCATTATTTATACAAAATTTAATGAATATTCTTAAAAAAAATGTTATTATTTACAAAAACCCTAATAAAATTGTTCAAAAGAATTTTAATTTTTTATGAATATACTTTTAATATATTTTAATATTTCAATTTAATTTTCAATTTTTTTAATAAATACTTTACAAAAATTCAATGATTTTCGGTACATTGAGAATTTAATTATTTCTAAAAATAGAATTCTAAAATAGAATTTTATTAAAACTTTTCTAAATAATTGAATCCCTGCGAAAAAATTTATTATTTCTACAAATAATTGAATTTTTGGAAAATTTTTAAAAATAAGTGTATTTTTGAGAAGATTTTTATTATTTTATAAATTGACTTTTTGCAAAGAATTTTATTACAATTATTAAAAATAATTGAATTCTTGATAAAATTCAATTACTTTCAAAATTTTCAGTAAAAATTATTAAAAAAAACTCCACTATTTTCAAGAATATTGAAATAAATAAATTCTTAAAAACAATTCAATTATTTTTAAAGAATTTTAATAAAAATCTTGCCAAAAATTAAATTATTTTCAATACAATTTTATTTAATTATTTTCAAATTTTTTTTTATAAATACTTTACAAGAATTAAATGATTTTCAGTACATTAATTTAAAAATTTTAAACATTTAAAAAGAACAATTATTATTTAAATGTTAGGAAACAAAAAAGAAAACAGCATAACAGCTAATTTATTAATAACAAAAATAAAAATAAATATTAAATAATTTCTTATCCTTTTTGCATTTTTATTTGTTTAAAAATATTATCTAGTTTTTAGTAATAATAATATATATTAAACACGTAAATTTTCCTCCTTTTTGCACTTTTCCTAATTGATTACAATTTTTTCTTCTTGATCTTTTTGTAATTTTCAATTTTTTCTATTTATCATAAACACAGTTTTTCTTCAGATATCAAACTGAGACAAAAAACGAATCAAAAGTGTTGCGACGCAACATTTTGACACTTTTTTTGTCGTAATTTGATATCTGCAAAAGAACCGTGTGTTTTTTTTTACAAATATTCGAGAAATAAAATAATTTTGTTCTTCACATACTATTAACTCAATTTGCATGCTTCTGATGCATTTTTTCCACATTTTCTAAAATATTGAAAATTTTACAAAAGCTTTTAAATAATTTTTGTTTCACCAAGCTGAAAATGCAACAACAACATAAAAAAAAGACTTTCGTTTATTTTACTATATTTTTTTATTGCAGTTGTCACGGTGCTGAGAGCAGACATGCCGCAAAACATGAAAAACGTCCGTCGCAGAAGCTCGAAACCTCCTGGCCATTCTCCCTGTAAGTTTATTTGAACTTTTTTTTTGCAAAGCTATACTTTTTCGAGAAAAATAACAGTATAGAGACCAATTGAAAACATCGATATATTTATTCTTCACTTCATAATGAGCTATTTTCTTTGAGAGATCAAAAAAGAAAAAAGGAGATAGTAATTTTCAATTTCCTTTTTGTTGAATAAAAATAAAATATAACAAAGAACACACTGTTTTCCATTAGTTAAAAATCTAATCAAGATTATCTTAATGGAATTAAAAAGAAAAAAGTAAATTTCACTTTTACGAACAAGAAAACTTTTGTTTCGAAATACAGAAACTTTAAAATTCAAAAGATATCAGATATCAAAAGGGAATATTTCATTTATTTTCTTTCTGGATTAACATAATTTCAATTTAACCAACTTTTTAAACAGGAAATCTTTTTTTTTTATTTAAATATAGCAAAATTTCTTATTTTACCGAATATTTAAATAGCAAATCTTTTTTTTTGTTGTTGATTTAATGGCTTTTTGCAAAGCAACAAATCAAATTTATTGAATTAATAATCAAAACTTTTATTTTACTAAATATTCAATTTTTCCTTTGGCCAAATTTTAAAGTTGACAATAAAAATAACGTTTAGAAAATAGCAAACTTTTAAATTAAAATTTTTTTTTAAAAAACTACAATTTTATACCTAGGAATTATTTTTTCTAATTTGTTTTTCAAAAAATATGTTTTCTTTATTGTCATCAATAACTATTTCAGAAAAAAAGTCTAATTAAAAAAGTTGTATGAAAAAAAAACTCCCCGAAAATTGGATAACTTTTGATGCGTAATTTTTCCATAATGAAATGTTCGATAAAAGGGGGAAAATTTACAAAAGAGGGAAAATAATTTTAAAAGAGTATAAAAAAAAGTTGTTGAAAATAAGGTGGCTTGATCCTGCAATGTGGGCAGATAAAAATCTGGCATGGGAAAGAAAAGACATTAGTGTATACGTGTATATATTTATATTTGTGTCTGTAGTAAAGATTTTCAGCTTTTGTAATCGTGTGAAAGGCCTGTCATCCAGGAGGATCGGAAGTATTAAGAAGACAATTTCCGTAGATTATTCTTCGCGACGCGAACAGAATACGAGTTAAAGGAGCCAGTTATTTTCGTGAGCAGTTTTTCGAGTTGGCGCCGATTCTTTGATCAATAATTGGGGAAACACTTTTCCCTATAGGTGGCACAAGTTATCAAACTGCATCGCCAAGCTTTTCTCGTGCTCACAAGCTTGCCGAGATTCACGTCCGATGGAGGCACTCGACAAATTTTAAAAAAATTTCGAATTTTTTTTTAATCCTTTTATTTATTAATTATTTATTCACTTTTTACCTTTTATCGATTTTTCATTTTTAATTTTTAATTTTAATTTTATTTTTTATTATTTATTTATTCTTTAATGATTTATTGATTTTTCATTTTTATTTTGTTTTATTTTTTTTATTTATTTATTTTTTAATGATTTATTGATTTTTATTTCCATGTAGGTATTCGTTTTTTATTTTTTTTCCCTATTTTCTATTTTTTATTGATTTTTTATTTTTATTTATTTATTTACTCATTTTCTATTTTTTCGTTCATTTTCTATTTATTCGCTTTTTATTTTTATTTATTCAATTTCTATTTTTTTTGTTCATTTTCTATTTATTCGCTTTTTATTTTTATTTATTGATTTTCTATGTACTTGTTTATTGATTTTTTATTTTTGTATAAATTTTCTATTTTTCTATTTATTCATTTTCCATTTTTTTTATCGAAATGTTGTTTTTATTCATTTATCGTTTTTTTAATTTTTTAATTTTCAATTTCAAATTTCTTCACTTTTATTATTTATTACATTTCTCTTCTTAATTTGTATCTTTCTAAAAAATATTTTTAAAAATTAAATTAAAAAAAGAATAAAACATAAATAAGAATAAAAGAATATTTAAGAAATAAATTATTTTTCATAAATTGACTAATTAAGTAATTTAATTAAATTTTATCTTTTTCGTATTCACCGGTATTTATAATGAATCAAAAGTTTATTTTCTCGAAAAGTTGAAAAAAGTTTCTAATTGAAACGTTATTGTGCAAAAAAAGATAAAATGTCGCACAAAAAAAGAAAAGAAAAAAAGGATGAAAGAGAGAATGAAAGTAATGAGGAAAAACGATTTCTTGACGAAATTGAAAGACTTGTCGATAAGGATACGTCAATCTTTTGAAAAATTATTTTAATTTTCACATTGTGGAATTTCTTTTGACATTGGTATTTGTAACCGTTGCCTGCGATGGATATTATTAAATTGATCCTTCCCCAAAACTTATTACTTTGCTATAAATTCTCTAATGTTCGACTTGATTTAAATCATAAATTTTCTATAAATCACCGCTGATACCAAAAACAAAAAATTAGATTTGGTTTCTTTTTTTCTGAATACTTTAAAGATTTCTTTCAATTTTTTTTTTTTTTTTTTTTTTTTTTTTTTTTTTTAATGAATAATTATTAAGTAAACAATTAATTGTTCGTTTATATTAAATTCGATCCTTGGAAGGTAATAAATAACATAAAATCATTTAAATCATTTTTAAAAATATTTATTTCACAGTTTTTTTGTCTCAATTTGATATCTGCAAATATTTATTAAAAAACGTTTTCGTCAATAGCAAAAAAAAAAAAAAAAAAAAAAAAAAAATTTTTGAATAGAGAATTGGTGAAAAGGATGAAATTTTCCGTCATGACCGTCATTTTGATGTTATACATAAATGAGGAAATTAAATTTCGCTGATATGCAATAATGGTAAGTGAATTTTCTCTAATGAAAATGGAGATGTGTTTTGCTTTCTCTCTCTGGCGATAGCATTTTGATACCTTGTGTTAATGAAATTTTACATTAGTTTTAGGACTTGAGTTTCTGTTTTATCGTGCATTATACCTTTTTGTAATGAATAGTAAGGAAGTAAGTCAAGGATCAATCCCCAGGACAAACGTTTTAGTAGCCCACGACGACTTATCGCGAAAGCATGTCTGACCTTAACACTGATTGGTCGATACCCGAAAATAGCAGGGCGCCTATCAGATAAGGTGGCTTATTTATAAATCTCCCACTCTCTCTCTCATTTTCAAATGCATTTATAACAGTTATTGTACACGTTCCCTATTTATACCCCCTCCTCCACATTTTAATAGTAATCTGACAAACCAACACATGTTTAAAATTAATTCCTCCTTTACTTCGATTCATACTTCCTGCTGAGAAGCAATTCATTTCCTTTATTTCTTTTTCGGGAAAATTAGTTTATTAAATTATTAATAATTAAAGTTCAACAATTAAAAAAGAAAAAAAAATCTTTACTCTTTAGCAATTAAAATTTATCAATTAAAAATTAATAATTGAAAATTAAAAAATTAAAATCGATAAGATGAAAATTAGTTAAAGTTAAGAAACTTAAATTACTTTAGCTTAATTTTCATATTTAATTAAATTCAAATTTGAATTAAATTTTTATCTTCATTATATATATAATACAGGATTGCCGCAGGTCAGGGAATTCAGGGAAAATAATTCAATTACTTTCATTAATAATAACATTTTTGAAGGAAATTCAATTTTTTAAAAAACTTTTTTATAAAATTCTAAGCAAGAATTAAACTATTTTCATAAAAATAAAAACTCATAGAATTTTAATTATTTTTAATACTATTTTAACCGAAATTAAAACATTCAATTATTCAATAAATTATTTATTTTTGTATTTAATTGATTGTAAAATAAAAAAATAGGTAAACAAATAATTGAATTCTCGTAGAGTTTTCTAATAAATATTGATTAAAAAATAGATTTTAGTTAAAATTTTAGCTAATAATTGAATATTAAAAGTATTACAGCAGGAATTTTTGGAAATAATTGTATTTTGAAAAAGCTTAATTGAATTATTGCAACGAGTTTTTATTACATTTTTTTTAAATAATTGAAATACTGTGAAAAATTTTATTGTTTATGAAAATAATTGAATTTACACTGTTTTAAAATAATTGAATTCTTTTGAGAAATTTTATTAAAATAGTAGATTTTGAAAATATTTGAATTTCATCGAAGAATTTCTTTATTTGTGAAATGTAATTGAATTCTTGCAAAAAATTTTTGAAAATAATTACATTTTTCGAGGAATTTATTTAAAATTGTATTAAAAATAATTTAAATCTTATGAATTCTTGCAAAAGATTTTACAAAATTTTTTGTAAATAATTTAATTTTTTTTTGAAAAATTTTATGGAAATTTAAATTATTAGAAAACATGAAGATATCAATCATTCCGAGTCGAAGACTCGGAGTGATCGATATCTTCATGTTTTATAACAATATTTTTAAAAGTTATTGAATTTGAATTTTTGAAAATCTTTATTTCTGTGGAAAATTAATAGTGATGAAATATTTATTTAAAAAAGAAGTTATTGATGTTTTTGAATAATTTTACAATTAAAAAATTTCGTAATTAAATGTAATAGAACAGTTTTTTGAGTATCTAATCATTTTTAAAGTAAATCAGAATATACTTTAGGGTCAGGGAAAGATTCAAATTTTTTTTCGAAAATCAAGGAAAAAAAATGAATTTTTTTTGTGTCAACCCTGATATATAAGAGTAAAGAAAAAATATTTCAAATCAGAAGAAATACTTGAAATAATCATGAGAGAAGAGAAATTTTGGAAAAATTCCAATTTTCTTGATTCTATCAAGTAAAAATGTAAAATAAAAAAGAAATTTGTCGCGTTTTTATTATTATAATCATTAATAATTTATTAATTCCATGCATACGCACATTCTCCTTGAACTTTTAGCACAAAAGCCGTGTATGTTTCCGGTGCAATTTCTTCGATTTTAAAAACGTGATTCGGTTCAAGTCTCGAAAAAAGGGTCGGAGGTCAACGACGGGCAGAGTGCGCGTGCGCTCGGTCATTCAATATCGTGGAGAGAAAGAGAGAGACGGAGATAGAA